CTTAAACAAGATGTTATATCGATACGACCGTTATAATTGAATTTCATGTATGACTGGTTGCATACATTAAGACACTGACATTTTATCTTATAACTTCTTGTTTAACAACTGGTTACTTTTTTCTAAGATTAATATTTAATTTTACAAAGATTGGCCAATTTTGATTATGTCTGATATAGTTAAATAAATTTGTTTAATATGGAATTAGTGACTTGCTAAACTTTTTATATACTAACTTTTTACTTTTGAAAATCTATATCAAGCTATTTCGTATACGAATTTTACTTTTAGGTCCCTTTTATAAGTATTATCGATAATGACTTGTCGACTGATTTCTATCCTTTACTCTGCTTAATTGTTTTCCTTAATACTTGTCTATCCTATCTCGCTTCCTTTCAGGAACGTGTCGACTATGCTGCTTTCTTACTGGTCTCCTAGTCCCTGCTACTGATATGCGGTTTTCTTACTGCTCTCCTGGATCCTGTTACTGATATTCCGTTTTCTTACTGGCCTCTGGAACCTGCTACTGCTATTCCGCGTTCTTTCTGTCTTCCTGGACCTTGTTTGTTGGTGCTCCGCTTGTCTCGTATTTCTTGGGTCACTTATTTTACCACTTGGTACTTTTAAATTCTTGATTTCTCCCACTTGAATCTTTTTACACTCTCTCGCTTATTAACTGCTTATATTTCTATAGGTTTTCTTTTCTTTCTTCAACAACTGTCGTTTTTCAAAATTATTTCTGTAACTAATCAATAATAATCTATTTTCTTTTTTACTATCTTGATTTTTCTTTTCCTTCTAAAGGCCTTTCCACATATCTTTTAACGTGCCATTTTCCTTTTGTAATTCACTTCACTTCACTTTCTCCTTTGCACTTATACACCCTATTCTACTTTCTTTACAATCAATTTTGCCTTATACTTCAAAATATTTCTTATTTTATAATATTATTTGACCTTTCTAGTGACTACTGAATTCCTTGTGGATCCCACTTTAAATTTGACATTTTTCTGACATATCCTTTTAATTAATCTACAAATTGTCTTTCGATTTTAATATCTTTTATTAACTCTTATTCTACCTTATTTTTTAACTATTTAATCAAACTCTGGCATTTTAACTTTTGTTTGCTATCTACCAATTCTGCATTTTAATTAATTTCAACTATATTTTTCTTATAACATCTTGACATATGCTCCAATTAACTAACATGATAATCAACTCAATAATAAATTTTGTAATAATTATTTCAACCATTGCCTTTACCGCTTTGTCTTTTACATAAATATTTAATTTAAATTTTACCTTTCTCTCGTTAATCTGATTTCATCTTAATATTTTTGTAGACCTTTATAGTAGCCTTCAACATTGAATACTTCAACCACATAGATGAAGTTGCATATTTTTTCTACAAATTTAAAAAATTCGTTAGCTTGACTTTTTCATTTGTTGTCATTATTCCCTGTTTTTCCCTCTGTTCGTTAAATTCGGCGAACACTTTTTCGTAATGTTCTCTGGATTTCGCTGGCAATAAATGGAAAATTTCTTCTTCAAAAACAGCCACAGGAATACAATTACTTTCTTGCATTTTTATTAAATTCAGATAGAACTGTTTATTAGATAATTGATAATAAACAACGTACCATAGCAACCAGTAGGTATAACAAAATCTACCACGTTTCATTGAGTATTGGTAAGAAATATCCAGTCGGGCGAATACTTTTTTTATTAAATTCCAGTAATTCTAAATCCACAAATATGATTGCGATATGACTATGGATAAAACGTTGTATTGCATTTGTGTTTTAATTGCCTTTTATCCACTTAAGAATATTCTTGCGTGGATAAAATGCTACTTAAAACACTTATACAATAAATAACTATTGCATCATTCATTTTATTAGGCAAAACTTGACAAAGTATTTAAGGTTATATTCACGTTTGAAATCTACATACTTACACTGAGTTTTTAAACACGATTTATGACATATGTAAATCTGCAAGTTACGCGTTTTGCGTCTTACGGATCATTATTCACTATCTATAATAACTAGCTACTATTTGTGTCAAAACAAAAGTTCGTAGTTTCTTGCTGACGTCATGCGGAAACAGGACGAAATTCCGCAGGCTGACGAGCACACCACACTACATATGTGTAAGTTTTTCTCTAAATATAATTTTGTTAATATTAATTTGTTATTATTTAATAGCTATACAGGGTGTCTCATAATTAGCTGCCAACCCTGAACAGGCCGATTCTATGATCAAAACTAAGTAAAAAAGTTCATATGAACATGGGTCCGGAAATGCTTCCTAAGGGCACAGGGACCCATTGAAGAGGGAGGAATGGAAATCATTTTTTTGCAATATCTCTCAATCGCGTTGTGATAAATGAATGAAATTTGGTATACACAGCTAAATTTTGATGAGCAATTTGATGGACTAATCCATTTATTTCCACAAGGTCCATTGGGGTGGGTACGGGGGGGCCCTTGGTACTTTGCGTGTGTAACTTTTTCATCTTTGACTTTTTAACAAATTGGACAGCAAATTCCGTTTTCCCGAACTGTTTTACGTTAAAAAGGTACTCTTGTTTCAAATCGTTATCTTTAACGGTTTCTGAGAAAATCGCTCTTGAATTAATCCCACTTTGGTCAATTTCATAGTAATTTAAACAAAATTATCAAGGTATTCTTATGTCAAAGTATTGTCAACCCGATTGCCAATTTAATAGTTCTAAGCGAAAAAAATGGAAGAGTTTACGGGACAAGAGTTAGTTGATATGATATTTATTTATGGCTTTTGCGATGGTAATGCTGCAGCGGCAGAACGCGAGTACGGGAGAAGGTTTCCAAACCGAAGGCTGCCATCAAGGAGGACATTCCCTACGGTATTCCGCAACTTAGCTGCAACCGCCACTTTTCGAAAGGCACCGGGTCAAGGACGTCCCAGGATTAATAGGGAAGCGGAGGTCCTTGACGCTATTGAACAAGATCCTACGACTAGCATACGGAACATTTCAAGGCAAATAAATGTTCCTCGGCCAACGGTACTACATATCTTAAAGATTTCCTTAACAGAATTGATTAGATGTGCTACTAACATTTCAGGTTGGAAGAATATTAAAGCGACAAGGTCTACATGCCTATCACTATCGACGTGTACATGGCTTGATACCAGAAGATTTTGCGCCACGTATGCAATTTTGTCGCTGGATTTTGTCGCTGGACAACGAGCAAGCTTCCAAAATTTTGTGGTGTGACGAAGCTACTTTTACCCGAAATGGAAAATTAAATTTTCATAATTCTCATTATTGGGAAGAAGAGAACCCACATGTTGTTCGGAGAACAAACTTCCAGCAACGGTTTTCCATAAATTTATGGGCGGGAATAATTCACGACACTCTGATTGGACCTATTGAAATTCCACAACGTCTCAATTCAAATCTTTATTTAAACTTACTTCAAGAAAATCTTCCCCAAATTCTCGATGATCTGCCTCTAAATTTACGACGTAACATGTTTTTTCAACACGATGGAGCCCCGGCACATAGTGGTCGCAATGTTCTAAATTTCCTAAACGAAAATTTCGCTGGACGGTGGATAGGGAGGCACGGACCGGTAGCTTGGCCGCCGCGTTCTCCCGACCTAACCCCGCTGGACTTCTTTTTCTGGGGATATCTAAATCAAAAAGTTTACGCCACCGAAGTCGATACCCGTGAGGAATTGCTGCAGCGTATCAATGATGCAGCCAATGAAATTCGTCAAAACCGTTTTAGCATCTTAATAGCTTCGAGAAGTGTTACACGTAGGGCAAGACTTTGTATCAGAGAAGGTGGAGGGTTTTTTGAACAGTTTTTAAAATAGCTTGTTGTCTGTTATCAAAATTAAGTTTCCATCTTATGATCCCTTCGAAAAGTGACGGTTGCAGCTAAATTGCGGAATACAGTGAGGAATGTCCTCCTTGATGTCAGCCTTCTGTTTGGAAACCTTCTGCCGTACTCGCGTTCTGCCGCGCAGCATTACCATCGCAAAAGCCATAAACAAATCATCATATCATAATTGTTCTACATCAATAATGTGTATTACTGATTACGTATTAAATTATTATTATTTTTTTTTGTTTAAATTACTATGAAATTGACCAAAGTGGGATTAATTCAAGAGCGATTTTCTCAGAAACCGTTAAAGATAACGATTTGAAACAAGAGTACCTTTTTAACGTAAAACAGTTCGGGAAAACGGAATTTGCTGTCCAATTTGTTAAAAAGTCAAAGATGAAAAAGTTACACACGCAAAGTACCAAGGGCCCCCCCGTACCCACCCCAATGGACCTTGTGGAAATAAATGGATTAGTCCATCAAATTGCTCATCAAAATTTAGCTGTGTATACCAAATTTCATTCATTTATCACAACGCGATTGAGAGATATTGCAAAAAAATGATTTCCATTCCTCCCTCTTCAATGGGTCCCTGTGCCCTTAGGAAGCATTTCCGGACCCATGTTCATATGAACTTTTTTACTTAGTTTTGATCATAGAATCGGCCTGTTCAGGATTGGCAGCTAATTATGAGACACCCTGTAGTTTATGGATATTAATTAAACTTAATCAGAATTCGAAAAATTCTTTATTTTGAAGAACTCAAGGAACAATAAAAAAAAGTTGATGGTCCACCCACCAAGGTACGCTAAAACTGTTAAACAAACTCAGTATTAGAGATTCCAGTGTATACAATGTATGCTTCGTGATACTAACCGTCAAAATTTATAAAAAAAACATGATTTATCAAAAATATTTATCTATGGTACACACTCATATGCATGCGCAAATCTATTGTTTTTTATCTATGTGTTGTTTTCTATCTAAGTATTCAATACCTGTATATCCTTGATTGCCTGTGAGGAGGATATAGTAGAACGATTAACATATTTTCTAGACAGGTTATTAAATTATCTGTAAAACCTCACTTAACTGACGTACTAATAAGTAAAAGGTATTCATATAAAACAACTCAGTAAAGTTCAGACTGAACCAAGATGAACACAGTCGTTGTCTTCTCTGTTTTAATCGCTGTTGTTTTATCTAGCTCAGGTAAGCAATTTGATATAACTGTTACAGTCATATATTAAACATATCACTGGCGCATATTTATGTTTGCTTAATTTAATTATTTTCGGATGTAGTACAGAATTAATTTATGATGTAAATACTATTTAAATAAATTAATCCACGTTGGTATTATTTTTAGCACCGCAAAATAATAATGAGACAGACGACGTGGTGGACCATATTTTGGACGCAATAGACGCTGTGGTAGGTCCTGAACTCGAAGTAGAAGAATCGAATATAATCTACTGGTTCTTCAGCAAAGAAAACCCCTCAAATGGCATCCCAGTCAACAGAGAATCCATATCACATTTGCATGACACGTCCTTCAACACATCAAGAGACACAATCTTCATTGTCCATGGTTGGAGGAACACCAACAGTTCAGCCTTCATCACTACAGTGAGAGAAGCCATCGTGGCTAACTTAGACGTCAATATCTTCGTCGTTGATTGGAGTGATATAGCAGCACAAAGCTACATACCAGCTAGAACTTCAGTTCCAGACGTTGGAAAGTTTTTAGCACACTTCATCGATACTTTGGTATCCGACTACAACCTGTCTTTGTCTCGCACCACTTTGGTTGGGCATTCCCTTGGTGCCCAAGTTGTTGGCATCGCTGGTGCCGCACTCAATGGAAACGTGGCGGTTATAGTCGGCTTGGATCCAGCTCTGCCTTTGTTTGCGACTTCTGGTGTGGAAGACCGTCTAGATCCTACTGATGCGAAATTCGTTCAAGTCATTCATACCAATGGGGGTCTCAAGGGATTCTTGTCTCCTATAGGGGATTCCGATTATTATCCCAACGGTGGCATGAGACAACCCGGCTGTGGTCTTGATATTGATGGAAGTTGTGCCCATGCACGGGCCTATGAATACTATGCAGAATCCTTGGAGGGCAGTGGGTTCGTCGGTGTGTCTTGTGGAAGTTATTTGAGGTATTCTGATGGGGATTGTGGGTCGGACAACACTTCTATGTTGGGAACAAGCGAGATCGATACAAGGTAAAATGAGATTGCATTATTATTACTTTTTGAAACTTTTGTTTTTGTTCAAAATTTAAGTGGCAGAAATTTATCATAGATGCTATATGAAGAAGTATAGTCAAAATTTCAGAACGGTTTAACATTTTGTCTCAAAAAATTGTATTATTTGCTTAAATAATATTAATGCATACGCTGAAACTACTTTTTTCTCTTTTCTAGTGCATCGGGACGGTATTATCTGGATACAAACAGTGGATCACCTTATGCCCAAGGTTAAAGTTAATCTTCTGTAATTTTTGTAATTAATATAAGTGAATACAATTGCGAAATCTGATACTTTGTTCTGATTACTTCTAAGTACAAAGAGAACATTTCCATTTTTAGAAATATTTTCATAAAATATTTAACAATTCTTATTATAAACGATTTCGTTCAAATAAAAGTAGAAAATATTGCATTTCCGATTACGCGGTTTTTGGAAATTTGCGCATTAAAACCAGCAACTGGAAAGACAAACGAGCAATCGATTCCAGGATTCGATAAACGTAAACAATTCCAGCAATACAGAACTGACAATTAAAATTATTCCGAATTATATAGTTAACAACTGTAGTTTATTGTTTGAAGACTTGGACTGTAAATTTACTACTTCTCAAGATTTTTTTGCAAACATCAAGGATTTCTACTTTTAATTATTATTAAATAATTTACTGGCTTGTTTAATAAACAGTAGGTCAAGTGTAATTATGTAATAGAGTGAATCTTTTTTTATACTTATATTTCCATCAAAACATTTAACTCGTGTGAGAGTGAATATCAAAAAAATTAGTAACATTTACAGAATGGAATTTGTAGGACAAGCGCTGGCGCTGTCTAAAAACGTGTTTTTAATGGAGATCTCAAATTTTTCAATAAAGAACACAAACAAATGTAATTGTATTCATTTACTCTCATTTTCAAATATCTTGAAATATTGCCTTTCCTATTTTTTAGTAATTTCAACATATTTGTGTATTATTATTAATATACTATACAGGCTGTCCCGGTACTTGATACATAAAAGTCGAGTACAAAAAATGAAAAAGATATTTTTATTTACAGTCTCTAAACTATTAACTTCAGCATGATGCAAATTTGGTGACCGATAACAAAGTGCATACAGCTTGTTTTTGACGTTGCACGTGAAACTTCATTATGTCCAGAACGCCAGGGCCGGACTATGGTCAATGGTTAACAACCCAGAATTTTTGCACAGATGACGACCGCAATCTGCGTATATAAAAAATGAGTTCCTTGAAGAATTAGCCACCGATAATACCCTCTTTGTTCAATTCAGAAAAATTAACAGTTTAGGAAATATTTGTGATTTTATGTCACAGTACACCCTGTATAACATAATTAAACCCTATATTGGAAGCATGGGAGAGATGAGCTTAATTTAAATTTGAAATTATATATAGGGTATCCCATTTAAAAAATAGTATGTTTGATTCACCTTGGTAATACGTAACACCCTGTATATACGAAAATAATTTTAATATGTGCAGTTTTCAGTTGGCTACAAATTTTGTAAATAACTTTTTTAATATCTTCCAAACATTGTCTTATTCGGTAGTTATCGGTTGAGATAATCCATCTGATATTGTTTAACTTGCTGTAGTACCTTTCTCTAATTATAAAAAGTAAGCTCCAACGATAAGCACTCTCTCCATACATGTTTTCTCCATAAAACGCAGAAACTAGACAATGAAAATGAAGACACAAACACCGTATAGTCACCAAACATTGATATAAATAATTTTATAACTGACAAACTGAAAACTAAAATAAATTCATGTAACTCAGGCGTAAAATGAAGTAACCTTACATTCTGATCGTATAAACAATGATCAAGCACGTGGCTACGAAACTATCGTTCGACGAAACAAATCTAACTGCTCAATCTCTGTCAAAACGCGTTTTCATGCAGAATTCTAATTCACAACGCAATTTTCATTTCGTGCGTATCATCTGCGGTTTAATTTTGTTGGTATTATACGTTGTTTAGGGTTAATTTAAAATGTCTGGCATTGATTCAGTTGATGAAGTGGCTGGATGAGAAGAAAAAAAAGTAACAACAAACAAGAATTTATAGAATTTTATAACTTTTTAATAATACCTGTTTTTACTTTACTAAAATGGGAAGATGCTACAATGTAAAAAACTTTCACTCAAATTGTACTCAATTTTACTCAATGTATCAATTTCTGTTCCCACCAGATTGAGTGAAATTTTCACTCTATTAGTATGGGGACAACTGAGTGAAACTATTGCATCAGAAATGAGTAAGTTTTACTCATATACGAGTTACTGCTAACTATCAATTGAGTGACTTTTGACACTATTCTGAGTATATAAAACCAATTTAGAGTAGACTTTTTCTCTAACATGATTTAAATTTAACTCTCATTGTAATTTTTTACTCAGACTTGGTTTTTAATTAACTAAATATTGAGTATAAAAATAAATCACTTATAAGTGATTAATTAGGACATACAGTGTTGAAATTAATTAGATGCTATACAACGTATTCTGTAAATGATGAACCTTCAAATTAGGAGAGATATTGTAAAAATAATGTCTCAAATCTACTTTTTTTTGATAGTATACAATTAACCCTGTATATTTTTAAACATATGGATTTCTGAGAAAATTCTATATATGGCAATATAAACAGTTTAACATTTTAGTGCGGGGTTGCCACGTTATGCAGAAAATTCTTCGAATATTGGAAAAAACATGACCTCGAAGTTGTATTAACTTTCAACTACTAACACTTGGAGCAAAAATATTTGACAGAGCTATAGGCAAAGACTCATATAGTAGCTAATATCGATATTTTATACAGGGTATTTTTTATAAAACGATCATTTTAAAAAAGTTCAAACTTGATTTTCTAAAATTTTTCAAATGGAACACCCTGTATTTTATTATTCTATTTTATTCACATGTCAGTCCACTTCAACTATTATTAAGCATGTTCTATATCTAAAATTGTTAGTATTTAAGATATAGCAACATTTCTGACATCTAGAACGCCGAAAAGAAAAATGCAAAAATAGCAGACATTCATTTGAGGCTTATTCTAATAATCCTGATCCGTCTGCTCCAATATTCTTTAACAGCAGTTCCGGAACAGTAGAAAATTTAGTAAAAGCTCTATCGACTCTAAAAGACCCAGATGTGTTTCCACACCAGTTGTAGAAAACACAGAGTTTTCAAATTTTTATTCCACTTCAACTCAAGTTACAATATTAAACGTAAATTAAACAATAGTAAGTACCTACATCAATTTAAAAATGAAGCTAAATGTTCAAATTGTCATCTATCAACTGTCACACATTTCGCGCATCTTCTGGCAACGTTTCGGGTAGCATTCATTAAATGTATATTTGAAATATTATTAAAAGAATTTTCAACATTTCGTCGAAGTTCCTTGATAGAGTAAACAGGAATTTTAAATACAGGGTGTTAAAAAAAGGAGTGTAAAATATTTCAGGAGGTATTAGTATGAACCAAAATAAGCAGAAAAGTCTTAATAAACATGGGTCCGCAAAGTAACGGTTGCGGAGATATGGACCACTATTCGTTTTTCAAACATTTTATTTTATTAGGAATAAACCGACAAAGGAAGCTTTTAACAAACAAAAAACAAAGTTACAGAAGATGTTCAAAGTGCCCTCCGTCCATTTCCAAGCAGGCACGACATCTTCGTCTCAACGATATTCGAACTCTTTCGAAAACACCCTCCTTGGTTTGGATTTCTTGACACTTTTGATTAATCCGTAGCTGCAGCTCTTCCAGGCTATTTACAGGAGTACCATACACTAATGTCTTCAAATATCCCCAAACAAAGAAATCTAGAGGGTTCAGATCAGGCGATCTTGGAGGCCATAAAACAGGTCCGGCCCTTCCTACCCATCTATGTGGAAAAGTTTGGTGTAAATGCTCTCTAACGGCCATGGAAAAATGAGCTGGAGCACCATCATGCTGGAACCACATTTGTTGC